GAGAGAGAGAGAGAGAGAGAGAAGAGGGGACCGAGGGCGCTGGGAGTAATAGATGGATCGGGATTGGAGGTTGCATGGGCCTTGGGTTGTGATATTTCCATCATTTTTAGATCTAATTAATACTCTGTTTAACACAATAATTGCCTACATTCGGGCGCCCTCCAAATTAGGGGGCCATGTTCATCTGCTCTGGTTGTACCTGCTAACATACGGCCTTGACTAAATCGTCTGAACAAGACAATGTCTCACTTGTGTGCGTATACATTCGCACAGGAACGCACGTTCGGATTTGCATATCCGATTGCTGGATGAATCATATCGCCAGCAATACCAGCATCAGAATCATTGTTGTCACTTAGGGTTTGGGCGATGATGGTTGGGTCCAGCCGACCTAATACACTACAGATCAAGTCAATCTGATACTAACAACCATGGATATTTATCGCATGCATCTTAACTATGAAATTTCGCTCTTCGAGTCTAGCAGAGCTACAAGCGTCCGTAGGAGAAAGATGGAACGCATGGCTCTCTTCGTCTCAATGATCTATGGATGTGTCGGTGCAATCTGTTCTCAAACGTAAGGATTGTTCATACTGTTGTTAAAAGTACATCACGCTGGTGTGAGGCTGTCTCTCTCCAAACAAGCTCGTGCCTCGCTTTATATATAAAACATAGATCAAAGTACATGAGAGAATGATACAAGGTGAATTTTGGGTAAAGCGTGAAGCATTATGCCCAAGGAGGATTGGAAAAGAATCAAGATCGGGAGGAAACGATTGGTGCATAAGTTAATTTGGAGTTTGTGAATTTTTTTTGAATAACTGCATTGAGAGAGAGAGATAGAAAGAAGAGGGGACCAGAGAGCGTTGGGAGTAACTGATGGACCAGGATTGGTGGTTGCATGGGCCTTGGGTTGTGATATTTCAATTAATTTTAGCTCTAACTAATGCACTATTTAACACAATAATTGCCTACAGTCGGGTGCCCTCCAATTTTTGCAGCCCTGCTCATCTGCTCC